GTTGTGTGGCCCAAAGAAGAGGTAGGTAGGCTGTTCACACACCCCTGTGGGGGGTTACAGGAGGCAGGGGAATCTGCTGCTCAGGGCTGCTTGGGAAGGGCACAGGGACATCAGAGCTTCCCACTGTGGGTCTGGGCCAGCCGCTAGAGTGGGGCGAGTGCCCATCTCGGGAGCGGAGTTGCCTTCAGCCAGGGGAAGCAGAAGAGATCTGCCGGGCTTTGGACAGTAGGGGATGGCTGGAGGGTCTCTGCCCTCCGCATAGAGATGTGGAAAGTCTGCGAGCCCAGTGAGTCAGCGCTCACTCCCATATGCTGACTGATGATGCCATCCTCTGTGTGCAGGGGCCACTGCTGCCAGGTGCAGCTACTCAGAGGAGAACATGGCTACTGTAGTCAGTTTCACTCCAGGCTGGGTGGCTGGGCTTATGAGGCCTGAGGAGGGAGGGGGAATGTTGTGCTATTGGGAACCCCCCCCCCCCCGAATTCCCTTACAGTCCAGGTATCTGTCACATATCCCATTCCTGCCAGGCAAGCCTCCAGGCTCTATGTTGTGTGACCTTAGGAAGTGTCTCCTTCTCTGGCCTAAGTTTCCACATCCGCACCTTTAGAGGTGGGCTTTAAGGTCTATTTCAAGTCTGAAATGATGTGTCTGTAACTAATTCTTCATAAGGAGGAAACCAGACATAGATATGTGGATGGGTGTAGTGGCAGGCCTGACCAGTCCCTAGAGGTGTGTGTGGGGGTTCCTAATGGGGTTCCAGTGGGCTCTGAACTGGTCTTCCTTTGACCAGTAAGAGGGCACTGGAGCACAGGGATGGAGTGCACCAGCTTTGGAGCCAGACTTCTTGGGTTTACCTCCCAGCTCTACTGGGGCCTTGCTGTGTGACTTTGGGTAAGTGGCTTACCCTCTCTGTGCCTCGGTCACCTCTGCTATAGAGTGAGCTAATTCTAGTAACTGTTGCAGGCAGGTTAAATGAGTTCACACAAGTTTTTTGCTTGGAAGACTGTCTGGCACATACTGAGTATTTAATAAATGTCAGCCACTAGTAAATCAAAGTGCAGGAGGCCTGCTATTCCCATTTTGAATGTGACAAGGTGCCGTGGGGGTGGAGGTGACAGCAAGAGAGTGCAAAAAGTCTGAACACAAAATGGTGAGGTATAGCATAACCCTTATTGAATGCCAGGCTATAGTATATACTCTATAGTTTATTTGTGTCAGTTTGCTGATGCCTGGCAGTAGCATCTATGAGACGTCACTATTAGTCCCATTTTACAGATGATAAAAAGAAGGCACAGAGAAGTTAAGCAGTTTTCCCAAGCTCCTAGGGCTAAAACCTCTGGCAAAATGGTCCCAAGTCTGCCATACTAATTGCCAGGAGGTGAGTTTAATTGTCCTCAAAAGCTATCTGCCCCAACGAAGCCTGGACCCAAGAGACAGTGCCAAGGAATATGGGGTGACCCACTTTCCCATCCTAAGCCACTTTTGTGGCTGGGCTATCCATCCTCAGGGAGGGGAGAGTTCAACCCTGGGCTGCAGTGGTGGGGCCTGGCCTGTCCCTTGAGAGTATCACTAGCGGCTTAGGAGAGTCCAGAGGAGGAGAGGGCTGGAGTGGCCGACAAGGGCCACATCGCAGAGGGACACTGCAGAGAAACACTGAGCTTGGGGCAGGTGGCCTGAGTCTGTAAACTGAGCGTTGTCCAGCGGGGGGCAGTGCAGGGTTGTGGTGGGGGCAGAAGTACCTAGAGGGGCTGAAGGGATTACCGCCCAGAGAGGGGAGAGGCTGAGGGAGGCGACTGTGATCTCTGAAGTCCCCAGTGGAGTCTAGGCCTGGGAACTCCCAGGTTGTGTCTCCCCTCCTCTTTGCTAGCGGGGTGTCTGTGTCCAGATAGACAGGGAGTGGACTGTGATCGGGGAGGGGGAACCAAGAGAAGGTTACAGAATCAAGAACCCTGGGTCTAGTTCCAGAGAAGGTGCCATGTTGAGAGTGTCCCAGCTCCCTTGCCCTGGGTCACTGGGCTGGGGGCACACTTGTCTTCTGGTAAGCAGCCTTGGGATGAAGCAGAGGGCTGGGGGTGTGTCGGGGCTGGGGGCCTCTGCTGGAGCTTGTCTTCAGCTCACTGCAGCTATAGGTGAGTAGCTGCCCTTGGCACAGAAGGGGTGAGGCCCCTGCAAGTTTGGGTGTCCCTGCATGTGTGTCATGCCATACCTGAATCCGAGTATATCCGATTCCCTCTCTATCTGAATGCCTCTGCAGGGTGAGTGTAAGTGTGAATTGTTCTGTGTGTCTACAGTCTGATCTGTGACATCTCAGTATCTGAATTGCTGTGTGCCTGCATCTGCAAATCTTTGTTGTGTGCGCCTCTGGGTCTCTGTGAAGGAGTGTGTGTGTGTACGTGTGCATAGTTCCCTGTCATGGGAGTGTGTGCTTCCACCTGTGTATGCCACCGTGGGAGTTTGTATCCATACCTCCAAGTGGTGGCCCTGGGGATAAGTGTCTTTGTCTCTGTAGGGTTGACATGTCTTTATGCTCATCTCTGTGGACCCATTTCTGTGTATTTGTATGTGTATGTCTGAAAGAGAGAGAAACAACCAGAAATCCACCAGTCCTCAAAACAGAAACTCACTCTGTCTGCTTGCTACCGCCTGCTCCCTCACCCCACCAGAAGCTTTCAAAATCCTGGTTCCTGTGCCAGCTCCCTGGGTTCTAATGAAGGTGAAAACAGGCCTTATAATTCTAACTATGTATGAGCATCACCTGCAGAACTTTAAACACTGCTGCCCGAACCACAGCTGAAAGCTTTCAAATCACTTGGGCAGGGCTTTTTTGGGGAAGCTCAGATGACTCTAGTGGGCAGCCCAGGTTGCATACTTGGGTCAGAGGTTAGGACTTTGCTGGGGAGGCAGTGAGCATCCACTGGCGGTGGGGTGCGGCCTAGTCCTGATGTGGGTCGTGCTGCTGCCATCTCAAGGCTTTGCTGAAAGCAAGGAGCTGTTTTCACCTTTTTGGCCGGAGATTGTAGAAGGTACAGGGAATCAACCCCTGATCATGGAGGCCGTCTGCCTGGCAGGATTTCTCTGCAACCCTCTGCTGGCCTGGAGAGTCTGCTGAGGGTCGCTGGTGCCAGGCACTCATCCATCACAGCCAGGCAAGTCAGGAGCATCGTCTCTGCAGGCAGAGCCTTGGGCTCCCCAGGGCTGGTAGAAATGACCAAGCCCTTTGGGGGCCACTGGTGCTAGGTCACACCAGAGGCAGCCTATGGCCACCAGGCGAGCCTTGGGAACTGGTACAGAGATCGCAGCCTGAGTGCCTGGCATAGATGGTCCCTCAGGGTACCCACGAGTGCTGAGGCCAGGCAGTCTGCCCTGTCCTCCCTGGCCCATATGAAGAGGCTAGGCCAGCGTTGCCATGCCCCCCAGGCTTCTTTGAGCATCTCTTGGGGACATCTGAGGCCTCCCTCAGCATCTGAGTGAGCCCTGGTGCATAATATGGGGAGGTTAGGCCTCCCTTTTTTTTGAGCCCTCCTGCAGCTGGTTTTATTTCTCCTTTTCGGATGCTTGCTTATCTCCAAGCTTGAGCTTGGAGAGGCCCTGTGGAGGCAAGGAGAGAGGGAGGGGACGTGGTTAGGCAGAGAGTGAGGGACACAAAGGCCCCTGGGGTGCAGCAGCTCTGCCCCGCTGGTAGGGGGTGTGCAAGGACTAATGGTTGGGCTGCCCATGAAGGATTTGCTGGGGGCCCCCATGGCCTCCTGGGCCAGGCACCTGTGGGTTAGCAGTGCCCTGTTATGGGCCTACTCAATCTCTTATAATAATAGTAATAATTTAAAAATAATAACCATCGTACGGCTGTGCTGGAGCCTATTTAGCAGTGCCTGTTGATGGATGCTTTGCTGCCCCATTTTTTATTGTTGATGCTATTTTAAAGGATGCTGTGGTGAAAATGCTTGCATATGCTTCTTTTTGTCCAAGTGCAATCACTTCTCAGATGCAGAATTGCTGTGTTGTAGGGTATATGTAGTAATGATCAGAGTATGCTCTTCCCCTGGGAGGGTGCTCTTGCAGACTCCTGTCTTCACTCCCTGTAACCCGTCTGGTCCCCACCAGCGGCTCCAGTCCTTGCAGACATGCTCCCTTGGAGCTCCTGCAAGTCTGAGGCCTGAGCACATGCTTCAGCTGTCACTGTGTTTCCCGTGTCATGGTTCAAGGCTTATCCCGAAGATGAAGTAGAGTGAGGTAGGGCAAAAAGAGGGTGTAACTGTTAGGGTACCAGGCCAGGCAACTGGGACAAAGAGGCCCTTTCAGAGGGTAAATTACCTGGAAGGTGGCTTCCCTTTGGTGTAACAGTCTGGAGGTAGGTGAGCCCTCCAGGTGGGCCCAGTGGCTGGGCTCCACGAGGTCACTTGGCTGGCGATCCTGCCTCCTCTCATAGTGTTACTGCCTACACCCCCAGATACTGTTCCTGTCCACACTGTCAAAGTGGGGTTTGGCATTTGGGAAGGGTGAAAGAGCAGGAGCAGAGATCATGCCACACCCTCAAACACGGAGGGTGCAGATGTGGCCACATGCTGCCACCCACATTCCATAAGGGCTAATAACTTCATCATGTACTCACATGTCCAAGCAAGAGAGACCAGGAAATACCTTTAGATGAGCATGCACGTGGCCAGCTAAAACTTTGTCACTGTGGAGGAGGGTGAACATGCAAGGATTTGGGGAGAAAATCCCTCTGGTGTCAAGGAGAAAGCCATTCCAGACCATGCCAGGAGAGTGACGGAGCTGAGCCAGTGTGTGCCCACAGTATCCCCAGCACCTAGCAGAGACCGAGTGCCTAGGGCAGACAAAGAAAGAGCAAGATGGATGCAGGCATGGAGGTGGGGTTATCCTTGGAGGCTGAGCACCATGCTGCAGGGAGCTGGGGGAATTAGGAAAGCAGGTGGTCTCGCCCCCCTCAACCCCGCCACAGCACTGGGCGCACAGGATTCACACCTTTCCTTCTTCTCTAGCCCGGAGACACACTGGGGCTGACCCGCCGCTGCTGTCAGCGGGAAGCCAGCAGTGCTGGCCAAGAAGTGTCATGGCTGGTGTTGTGCAGGTCTCCCTGGCTGCTCTCCTCCTGCTGCCTATGGTAAGAGCCCAGGAACATCTCCTCTGGGAGCCTCAGGCTCACCTGAGCCCCTGGCTCTAGAGAACCCATGTCTTTTGTGTGCCCTCAGCTCAACTATTGACTTGGCTGGTATTTCTGCCACCACTACCACTGGGCCCCCCAGCGCCTTTGTGTGAATCAGAAAAGATGCACCTTCCTCAAGACCCTACATTGATTTGACCAGAATTTATTACAAAGGTACAAATCTTTATGATGGTAACATGCGGCAACATTTAGAGTTGCACAGTACACAATCTGCTGAGCCGAATGCAGGATCTCTGGTCAGGGCTGCCGAAGGCCCTTTTGATTTTCTTGTCACCAGCCCACCAGGCCCTCCCAAGATAGAACTCAGAAGACTGCCCTCTGCTAGATCTCACCCTGAGCAAAGGTAGGGATGGGGAGTGAGCAGAGGACTCCCGGGTACTGGTCCCATCACTCGACCTGAGATTTCAGAGCAGCAGTGGGTGAGGCTGTCCCCTCAGGACCCTGGGTACCAGTTCCGTCTCTGCCCGGACTCACTGTGTGGTCAGACAAGCCTATCCCTTTTCCCTGGAAACTGCCTACACATCTGTGAATAGCAGGGATTGGACTCTGTCCCCAAACATGGCCCCTGGCAACTCAAATGCCTTGTGACTGCCTCCTCACTTGCTGACATCCCCCTGGGAACCATCCCTGCCCTTGGGGTTTGAGTTAAAGTGACAGCATTTGGAAGCAGCTGTCATGATAGCAGTGCATGGGCTGTGAAGTTACTTGGTCCTGAACTTGATGCCCCTATCTGCTGTTAACCAGCTGTGTGGTTTTGGGCTGGAGTCTAATCTCTGAGCCCCCGTTTCTTCTTCTGTTAATAAGGGTGGTAAGTAGGCCCCACTAAATGGCACCACTGCTCCCTAGCCTGCAGCTGCTGGGGGCACCTTCTCCCTGAGCTCCTGGAGAAGACAATGAGATTTCTCCGCCTGACTTCTCCCTACAATGTGTTTTCTCCCCTAAACTGCAGTTGTGGCCTTGTGGCCCCTGGAGTCAGACCTCCTGGGTTCGAATCCTCGCTTTTCAGTCTACTGAGCCATATGACTTTGAGCAGGTGACTTAACATCTCTGTACTTCAGTTTCCCCATCTGTAAAATGGAAAATGATAAAAGCAGTACTTCATAGTACTCTCCATATACATGCACACACATGACAGAAGAATGCATGCACCGAGTGAAGTGCCGTATATAAGACGTGGAAACTGAGACCCAAGGAGGCAGTGGGACCTGTCCAAAACTACACATTGAGTTGGTGACTGAGAAGAGCCCTCATAGTATCTCTCAAGGTGAATGCCAGGGCCTCTGCTGGCCCTGACATCTCTTGTCACCTTCCTGTCTGGTTCTGCTCCCCACCCCCCCCAGGACACTGCCCCTCGGGCTTTGGTAGGAGAGCTTGCAAACAGGCCTTCCTGCACGCTCCCACTGTTCATCCTGTGTTCTCCCACAGGCCTCCGCCATGCATTCTGACTGCATCTTCAAGAAGGAGCAAGCCATGTGCCTGGAGAAGATCCAGAGGGCCAATGAACTGATGGGCTTCAACGACTCCTCTCCAGGTGAGCGGGGCAGCAGGGAGCATGCCATGTTCCCAGTGCCAGCTTGGTAAACGGTTTTCCTGTCCTCAGGCTCACCTAGCAGAGGTGAGCCTGAGGTGGTCAAGGGTATGGGTCTCTGGGACCTTCAGAAAGCCCTCTGGAATACTGATGTCCTGGGTCTGCTCTGGGCAATGATGCTGGGGCCACCCCCTCAAGGCTGGTGTGCCTTGGATGGCTCGCGGCTGTGCTGGGTGACTGGACATGGCCGCCTTCTCTCCCACAGGGGCCAGGATAGCACTGGGGCCTGGGCTGGGCCGTGGCTGTCAAGAGCTTGTTAGCAGGCAGCATGGGCCTGGTGGCAGCAGGGACACAGCTGTTGCCTGTGGCTGAGCTGTAAAGCGCTTGGTCAACCCAGGGCAGGTAACGTGGGGTTCTTTCCCACCTCCTCTGCCAATTCCATCAGCAGCTAGAGAAGCAGGAACAGCAGGAACTGCAGTCCTGAAGACTCGGGTACAATGCTTCTCCTGGGGCTGCATTTGAGGAGGGTCCTGCTTCCCTGTGCCGGAGGAAGCACACATTGCAGGACACTGAGCATTCTTAGCCTCTCCCATTAAATGCCCATAATGTCCCCGACCACAAAATGCCTCTTAACAGTTCAAATGTCCCAAGGTAGTGGTATGACCCCTGGTGAGTGAGAACCGGTGGCCGCATTGAACCCCTCCCCCTCCAAGCTTCCCATCTGCATAATGGGGAGTTAAGGTGCATAGAGCAAAGGAAGCGTCAGCTTTTGGCCTTAGGGGACGTTGGGGATTTGGGGGAGGGGACATCATAGAGGCCTCGCCAGCCTCACTTTTGCCTCAATCGTTGGAAGACTGGCTTCATGCTGCCCAAGTAGGGCTCTCTGCTCAGGCCAGAGGGATTCGTTTTTCCTTCTGGATCCTCCTGGCTCCTCTGAGCACCATCTGTTTAAACACTTGATTAATCTGCGGCCCAGTTAAATGTAATGGTCCCATTGGATGGAGCTCCCCAGCCAGTTGCTTCTCAGTGAACATTAACTGGTAAGGGAGCTACTCTGGGCCATGCTGGCCTTTGCCTCCATCTGAGCTCTTATTCAGCCCTAAGCAAGGCTGAACGTGGATTCGGGGCCCCACTAGTGAGGGAAACTGAGGCAAGGGGCCCAGAAGGGCACACAGTTGGAGGCGACCAGAAGAATATCCCAAGGATATCTGGTCCGCGTCTCTGTTTGGACTTGGGAACGCTGAGTCCCAAGGGCAGGGATGGTGTGGATCACATGGAGGATCAGGCTGAGGTGGGTCTGGAACCCAGATGTCCTGCTCCAACCCAGGGCCATTGTTCCTGCATCTCATGTCTCAGACACATCTGGGGTTGAGCAATGAAAGCATTCAGGAGGGAAGAATAGAGGCAGGGGCTGGGGTGGGACAGGGACCGCGGGGTAAGCTGTGTGCAGTTTAATTGCACACGTGCTTGTTGAATTCTGGTCTGAGAAGTCAAGACAGGCCTGTTCACAGGGACGTCGTGGCAGAGACAAGGGAGGTGGATGCCAGGCTGGACATACAGCATCCTGGGAGGGGCCAGGCCAGTGCTGGGGAGGTGGTCTCACCCGTAGGCATGCTCTGGAGAGGAAGAGATGAGTTCTCTCGGGAAGGATTCGTGTATTGAAACTGGATCCTTGCTTCTCAAACCTGGCTGCACATCAGAATCACTGGGGAACTTTCAGAAAAATGCACTCAAGCCACAATCCAAACCAATTAAATCAGAAGCTTGGGTCCGTCATGGTCACCGTAGATTTTAAAAGCTCCCCAGGCAATTCTAATGAGAAGCTGCTGTTGAGAACCCTTGAGTTTGGCCCAAGGGATAGGTAGGCATTTGAAGGCAAGGGAGAATTGAGGGCTAGATGAATGGGTGAACACTGTAGACTGAGGAAACCGCAAGAGGCGGGAGCCTGGTGTTTTTGGTAGTCTTGAGTAATGTACTGTATCTGGAACTCAGAATTGGAGCAGATGGGTTGGGCTATTGAGGGGGCGTGGCAGAAGGCCCAGGGTGTGTATTTCATGTCCATTGCTGCTGGAGTTGAAGGGGGTGGGGGAAGCAGTGGCTGGCTCCTATGGAGCTGGCATCTCTGCAACTGCCTCAGGGCTCCACTCACCCCTCCTCAGAGACCCTGTGAGTCAGGGCTGGCCAACAGGAGGTTGGGGTGTGAAGGATTCTCCAAGAGGTAAGTGAATCACTCTCCTTTAACCCTGTCCAGATGGGAGAGGAGGCTGTACCCTCTCACAGTCTGCCTAAGGAGAGGGTCCCTCATCTCTACCTCTCCCCTCCCTTGAGTCATAGAGTAGGGCTTTATAAAACAGAGCTGAGCTAATTAAGCAGAAGCAAAGGGCACCCTTTAGGTGGGAAAGAGGAAAAGACTAAAGGCCCAGCTGGACCACAAACTCCATGGCTCTTTCCTGCTCTGGGCCTCAGGATCTCCTCCTTTAAGATGAGTGGGTTGGAGTGCATCATGTAAATAGCCAGGCCCTCTGTAGACTTCCTGTGTGCCAGGCTCTATGCCAGTACTTCATTCTACCACCACAGCAGCTGGGCAGGGGGAGGTGTGTGGGTCTGTTATGACCCCAATTTCATAGGTAAGGTAACTGAGGCCCAAAGAGGTTATGCACTTTGCTTAAGGACATAGTCTATTAAGAGGCAGAGGTGGAACTTCATCTCAGGCAGCCTGTACCTCTGACTGCTGGGATGCACTGCCTCTGAAGAGTGACACGCTCTGAGTCCCAGCACCGCTCCCCCGCCCTCACTGCCTAGTCACAGCGCCAGGTGTGGGATCTTTGAAGGGCCCTTAACACCTTAATTTTCATGTCTGAAAAAATAGAGGAAAAGTAAAACCTACCACACAGGATTATTGCATTAAGTGATAAAAGTCTGTGAGAAGTGTGAAGGACAATGTATAACATTTGCTAAGCGCTTAACTAAGACGCTGTAGTTATTAGGAGCTGTCATCTTATAGTGTTGGGGGTCTCCATGGCTCCCACCTTTTGCTAGGTCCCAGTTTTTCTGGGGAGTAGAGAGACCTCTCTAGGAGGCAGGTCAGTGCCACTTGGAACAATCCTGGAAGAGCAGGGGAGAGGTTGGGGACCAGATCTGGGCTTGAGGGCAGATGGAGAGTACGGGAAGATGGAGAGAAGAGTTTGGCTGGGGAAAGGTAGAAAGGGAGCAGTGGGTAAGGCAGGTGGGCACTGGGTTCTCTGACACGCATGCATGTACACACGTACACACACACACACACAGTAACTCATTTAAGTCACAAACCTATAGGCTCCGGAGAGTTTCACCCCCATTTAACAGGTGAGGCTGCTCAGACACAGGTTAGGTTGCTTGTCTCTTATCTAGTAAACCCCTCAGCCGGGAAGGTGGAACCGAGGTGTGCGTATGGATGGTTCTGGAGTCTGTGCCTTCACCCCTGGGCTACATTGTTGCTCAGAAGAGGAATGAGGAGACACCCTAGCCCTCAGCTATCCCCTTGCCAGAGTGAGAGGTCATACAGCAGAGGAGGCTACAGTGAGGCTGGAAAGAGGCCTTGGGAGAGAGGGGCTCTGAAATGTGCTTGAGGTCTGCCCCTTTCTTAGCTATGAAAAGGCCAATGGGCGTTTGTGTTTCTAAGGCCTGGGATAGAATGTCTCAGCCTCTAATGACTTGCTTGGAAAGGAGAGGGGCAGGCCAGTGGGAGGGGAGGCCCCTGGAAGAGACTGCCCTGCAGGCTGAGGTTGGAGGACTCTCAAGGGGGCCTCAAGTTCTTGGGGAGCACTGATCTTGCTGTCACCCACCAGGGGAGGCCTTAATGTTCCCCCATTGCCCTTTAAGAACCTCTAGCCTGCTCTTAGTGGCGCGCCCTGGCTGGAGCTGGGCTTCTTGGCTACAAGTTCAACACTCTTGGGAAGGATGGGCCTCCACCCCTCTCATCACACCTGCAGCACTGTAGAGCTGAGCATTTAAAGATGCTCATGTCCAGGCCCCTCTCCAGACCGAAGTCTTCAGCATTTGGGTGGGTGTGGAGGGGGGGTGCTCCGTGTAGTGTTAAACACCTCCAGGCGATTCTAAAGTGTATCCTGGTCTGAGAACCACTGGCCAGAGCACAGCATCCACCAGGTCACTCGTGCCATCTCAGGCAGAGAGCAGCCCCTCAGGGCGCAGACGAACCAGGCTGGGGAGCTCACCACTAGCTACGTCAGATCTGAGTGTACCAAAGAATCGACGTCTGTGCGTTGTGTTATTAATCCGTGCCAGCCCTCCTGCTGCATTTGTTTCCTGAGCCTTCGCTGCCCGTGTGGCCCCAAACACACACACCATGCACACAACGCTGGCCAAAGCTCAGCTCGTGTCCTTGAAACACACTTGAAAAAGGAAACGTGACAGCTTGTTCCAGTGCCTGTGAGTGTAAACTCACAACAGTGTCTTTTATAGAGTTTAACATACTTGTATCTATTTTGTGTGTAAGTATTAAATCTAGCAACATGAATCAATTGGAACAGGAGCCCTGATCTGTTAGGTGGATTATGTCTGTGGCCGTGTGTCTGTGGCTGGGGGGAGGCAGGGAGATTCCAGGAAGCCCTTGCTCCTCACTGGTCCTGGGACCTCCACCCCAAAGAGAACCTAGAATGGTGCTGTGCAGAGCGGCTTTCAGAGTGGTGGCCAGGACACAGATGTGCCGGGGGTAGCAGGCGGGGTAGCAGGCAGCTCAATGAGGATGAGAAATAGAGCCCAGAGAGGTGGCCGTGGGGAGTGAAAGCAAGCTTGCAGCCTGGCTTGCTTTGTTTGCAAAATCCTTGGCATGTTTCAAAGGTGTTTACTGAGGAGAGGAGGGGGTTTAGAGATGCAGCCATTTTGTCCCTCCTTCCAAACCCCCGAATGCTAAACGGATTTGAGCCAATACCAAGTTGGCTTTGTCATATGATGCCCAGGGAGGCTAAGGCCAGAGGCGGTGGTCACTGGCCAACCACACTGGGGGC